CCCCCCCCCCCCTTTCTTCCATCTCTCTGTTTCTACTCTTGACTGATTCAACTCAGTAGAAACGTTATGAAGGTGAAGAATTCGTGATGGGTTTTCTTGACTGTGGATACGTTAGAAAGATGAAGAATTTGTGATGGGTTTTCTCTTTTTTTTCATTTCATCTTTTGGGGTTTTCCCCCGGTTTGTTCTGAAAGTTGGTCGTGGCTTCATGCCATGGCTTTTGAATGAATCTGGATTGTGTTTTGTAGGATCATTGGTTGTCTTCCCCAGGATTTTTCCTGAGAATATTGCTTGGGTGATCAAAATTTGGTTTTGATTCTTTGATAATGGAATCGTTTTTCAGTGGTAGTGCAATTGATCTGCAAGTCTTTGCATGTTCATGTAATGGTTCGTGTGCGAAACTCTTGTTTAATTTTCTTCGAAGTTGTTCTGATTCGCTATCCCATTTATTGCTCACGTTTTCGATCCAATATGGGAAATGTAAAGGTAGAATGAGAGGATCACCGCATTATCAATGCTTTCCAGACAAAAGTGACTTCACTAAGGATTGTTTGTTCGGAGATCTGCTGATACACTTCAATTAGTTTTGTGTTCTGTTTTCTAGTTTTTGGAAGTAAGAGTTGGTTTAAATCTCTGTTGTGTTTTACTCTTAGGTATATCGAACTATGCCGGGAGCAAGGCGTCTTACCAAATACCTCCATTTTATCTGGCTTCTTCGAGGTTTGGTTTGCTCGTATTGTCATGTGCTTCAGCTCAATGCCATTTATCTTGAGCTTTTAAGATACTAGGAATCAATGCAGGAAATCTCGAACTGTCCAAAATTGTTCCAGTTGGCTAGCGAAATCGAAAGTTTTATCCTGTTTGAAATTCAACTATCATCTTTAACTTCGATTTGGCGACTGCTACATTGGAAAAAAAATGTCCGTTTCTCCTCTCTTCATATTCTCATGTGGATTTTTGTAAAATGTGAAGATGTCTTCTGTACATGGAGATATGTCCGCTTGCGTAATTCCCATCGGTTAAACAACTAGGTTTTGCTAGATCATGCATCATCCTTTCTATCTACAGGGAGGTAACAATGGTGCTGTCATCACTACAGAACCTTGCTAGCTTCTACTCGGCATTATTTTCCTCTAAGTTCTGTGCTAAGAGTCTAAGTGGCTAAGTATTAGTGTCATTCGGTGAAAAAACTTACCACTGAAACCCGACTGATTAACTTCTTGTTAATATTCAGGCGGAGGTTAAAAGATCTAGCAAGAAAAAATGTGTCATGAAGGTGATGATGGAGAAACTGAAAGACATTGATTTTTGCCCGCTTGTCAAATTGTGTGAGGAGATCAGCACGTCCGAGGTAGAAGGAGTTGATGTGCTCCTGAGATCCCCTTGTACTTTGGAGGATGCTTATGCTTGGTCATTAATCCACTCGATCGGTCAGAAGCTTCGGGTTGTTGACCTCTTTGATTCTTTCGGGAAAAGCTTCTGGCGGTATAAAATGGTCCTTTCTCTACTGTGTTTTATGTTTTTTTTTAATTAAAATGTTGCATGTATTTGGATAACGTATGGTCTGAATATCGAGGCGGATTTAGCTTATCCTTTAAACTTTGTCACACTTTTCAAGAAAGCCTTGCGAGGTTGTGTTGCTGCTTAGTTAAACCGGAACTTATGATTCTTAAATTATGAAAGAGAATTTGTATACATGAGGAAAATATCTTTCATATCCCGCAACCAGGACAATGCTATGACCCTTGAAATGTTGTGATTTCTCGTAAGATGTGTTGAATCTTTCCTACCTCGCATCGTCTTAATATCCTCGAGTTTTCTGACTGGATTACGTCCATGTGCATAACCTTGTGTGTCTCTTTCACATTTGATATGCTTGATTCTGCTCAGTTTCCTGCTATTGATGCAAAGGGCTTGGCATAATAAGTTTGAAGAATGTAGATCCAATTGGGTCTGCATGTTAATCTTTCTACATCTAATCCAAGTTTTTATTTTCAGGAACCTTTTCCATTTCGGCATGAACTGCAAAGTTTTAAAGTTGAGGTCTTTGCGTATTCTGAAGCTTAACATCCTAGGGGAGTTCACCCAGTTGCACACCCTTATACTAGACAATAACCGTGTTACCGGTTTCGAGGAAAGCTGCTTTTCTTGCATGCCCAACTTGACATGTCTATCGATGTGCGAGACACTAGTGTCAAATCTTTGGACAACTACTGCTGCCCTCTCCAAACTCCCATCTCTCGAGGAACTCAAGTTTCAGATTTGGCTCTGTTGCAGTGATTCTGGCCCTTCAAGATCCTCACCACCACCATCATCATCATCATCATCTTCTTCTACCAGAGATGATGACAATGTGTTCGGTGAACCCGATTCTTTCTTTGGAATAGATTTCTCAGACTTTTTTGAGCAAATAAATCCTAATTTAAATGTCGAAGATGCTCTTCAAAGTATGTCTCATCTCACCGATCTTATTGGTTCATATATCCATGGTTTGAATCACTGTCCTCTGAATGATAATGACATGGATTTCTTGTTTCCTTTGTCTTTACAAGATGACATGGTCCTACCTCTCGCCTTGACTTCCGAATTGAACAAAGAGGTATCGATGCAGGAAAGGGTAAGATCCTTGGCCCCTTTTCTTTATAACTTCATATTTGAAGAGGAGAGATCTTTAATCTATGATTCAATCATAATCCAAAACAACATCAATATATTCATGTTTTGTGTACAATTTGGCAGGTTGGAGCTGGCAGCGTGTTACCGGATGAAGTTTCTCCGGCTGGTTCTTTCACGAGAGAAGTCGGGAATGTGGGATTGAAATATATCTCTTCTAAAGCTTCACCAATATGCTTCAAGAAGCATTACAGGATGTACATAATAAACTCACTACCCCAGTTAAAAGTCTTGGACAATTTGCCCATCAGGAAGAGCGACAGAGATAGGGCCGCCGAAACGTACTTTGCGAATTTCGAGCACTTGCCTTACCGGAGAAAGAACAAGGAAAGCATAGTTAGGGTCCTACAAAAACGTGAAACGAGGTCAAGCTGTTCAGGCCCGAAGCACGCAAAGTGGAAATCTCAGTATTCTTATACGAGGTCTCTTTCTGCTACAAGGATGGCGTCGTCGCCTTGGCCGCTTTTTCACCCTCTTCCGGTTTCAGGAAGAATTTTGGAAGACGAGAACATGAGATTAAGTCCAAGGCAGTTTGAATACCATCCGTTGAATCCTAGTCTCATGGTCTTCGGGACTTTGGACGGTGAGGTGGTTGTTCTTAATCATGAAAGGGGGAAAATCGTCAGTTACATCCCGTCTCATGGCGAGCTAAGTAGTGTCTTGGGACTTTGCTGGCTCAAGATGTATCCATCTAAGGTATGCTTTCTTCTATTTCTGCAGCCAGCTATTTTATCAAATCCTGGCTATCTTATTGTTGTTATAATTGTACCTTTTCTTCTTTGTTGGTATCTATTTTCAGCTCATAGCTGGGTCAGCAAATGGCACGTTGAAATTGTACGATATCGAGAAAGCATCCTCATCTCTTACCAGCACATATCCGAGCTCCGGCACTGTGACTTTCGATGATTTTGACCAGTTAACTTCTGTTCACATTAACTCTACGGACGAGCTATTTCTTACAAGCGGGTACTCAAAGGATGTAGCTATGTACGATATCAGTAGTGGAACACGCCTGCAGGTGTTCACCGACATGCATCGGGAGCACATCAATGTCGTGAAGTTTGCTAACCATTCTCCGTACCTTTTCGCAACTTCTTCGTTCGATAAGGACGTTAAATTATGGGACTTGAGGCAAAGGCCGGTCCATCCATGCTATACCGCTTCCAGTACCAAAGGAAATGTTATGGTTTGTTTTTCTCCCGATGATCAGTATCTTCTAACATCGGCTGTTGACAATGAGGTACGTTCTCAGATGATTTTTTTTCGTGAACTGCTGTTATTTTTGCAGAAAACACCGCTCTGCTTTTATTCGTTATTTCCGGAATCCATTGACTGTGTTCTTGACATGTTTGGTACTCTCCCTTTCTGGTTTTTTACATCCTAAGACCAATCAAATATTCTATATGTAATCTTCTTACACATTTCTCTTGTTGAAGCTGTGTTGTATGTTACTGCGAAGTCGATGCCTCGCAAATCTTACTAAGAATACGGTTGTGGGCAGGTAAGACAGCTCTTGACGGTTGACGGAAGGGTCCATCTCAATTTCGAGATTGTCCCCACGGGAAGTTCCATGAACTACACTCGATCCTACTACATGAACGGTAAGGATTACATCATCAGCGGGGGCTGTGACGAGAATCTGATCCGGATTTGTTGCGCTCAAACTGGACGGCGCCTCAGGGATGTGTCCCTCGAGGTAACACACACCATGGCCCGGGAACTGTCTTTTTCTGCAAGAACGAAACCGATGAGATGCTAAAGATTGAATCTTTACTTCATGTTGTTGCTTCTTGTTCTGTCCTTTCTGGTCTCTGATGAACAAAATCATCATCATCATGATCATGATTTGGTGTGTTATGATTCTGTGGATTTTGTTTCTTGCAGGGAACTGACTCAGACATGTCACTGTTGTTTGTTCAGTCTTTGCGTGGAGATCCTTTCAGAGTGAGTTAACGTTCTTCCCCTCTTGAAAAACTTAAACCCTTTTTCCTTTCCATGTTTAAGTGGAAATTAACTTCGAATCTATTCGGAAAGCCAACATATCTAAGCTTTCGGCCATTAGGGATTGGCATAAATACCCGATTTTCGGGTGTCTGGCCTTTCACGGTTACGAGGTGTTTTTTTTAATTACCCGTCCAATTGGTATGGGTACGAGTAGTTAACAACCGGTTATATTTGTTAAAGCCTTATTTTATTCGGGTATCGGCCTGTGATTCATTGTATACCTTGTATTATGCGTTTTTTCGGGTTTGGATATCCATGGTATCATAACATTTTGTCGGATACTAATAGTCCGGGTATCCGAGACCTCCAGGTATGAGTACGGGTATCATACCGAGAATTTCGGGTACCCGACCCCTGTCCACCCCTACTGTCCATTAACAACCGAGCTTTCCACCTCGAGGCTCATTAAGCGGTTTTATTTCTGCAGGAATTCAACATGAGCGTCTTGGCTGCGTACACACGCCCGAGCTCGGGGTCGGAAATAGTGAAGGTACTTGTCCAATTTACGTCCCTCCCTAAAACTCGGCTCTACATTTTTCGGGTCAAAGACTTACAGATTCCGGCCCGGAAATTTTGCAGGTGAACCTGTTAGCGTCGAAAGATTCGACGAAAGAACAGTTCCATGGCCTCCGTTGGCTCCACACAAACAGCATGGGAGGCTGAGAGAGACAACCAATGTATATATTGTTCCTTGAATAAGGTCTTTTTTTTTTTATCCGTTTGTTCTGTAAACAAAAGCGTTATATACATTGTTTATCTACTACGGGCGGACGAAGGACCAAACCGTGTGGTATTTTTTTTTTCTGAATTAACGGTATTATTTTTCGAAGACGAATTTTCTGAAATCGAATCCAAATTTTAAAAAACTCGAAAAATCGAAAATCGAATAAAAAATGATATAATAAACAATTGGTATATATTTTGGTAAAATCGAAAGAATCGAATCGAATTATTCTCAAACGAACTCAAACCGAATATTGAAATGTCTATCTCTACTGGTGACGAAATGACTTTCGTTTTTTGTTATGTTAGATTTATAAAAATTGTAACCACCTCATTTTTATATCGAATTTAGTTTTATTTTGATTGGAATATTTTTTATTATTCAATATTATTTTTTAAAAGTAATTTGGTTTTTCAATTATATTTTTTTAAAATCGGATCGACATATCCAGCTTGAATTCTAGCAACATAGGCTTCGAATTGTGTCACATTAAACATTTTGGACATGAAGAATAATTCCACTCTTTCAATAAACCTCTAACATTTTCTAGTGTTTAAGCTTCCATAAACTTTAATAATTGGATCCACATTATAGTAATCATCATTTACTATTACTTGAAAATTATCATAAAAAAAATGGACGGATAATGAAGAAAGCAATAAAGAAACTAAAACAAATAATGGAATAGAAAAGAGGAAGAGAAACATGGGAAGGGAACCAAAACATCACTCTCTCTGCACATAAAAGAGGTTCCTCTCCAAAAGAATCCAGTCGGAATAATAACAATAACAACAATAATCATGCGAACGGCTCCAAATCCACATAGCGGTAACTCGAGAATCGTATGAAAACATGTGACGACATAAATTCGAGTAACCCGAACATCGGAATGTGCAAAACTCTGCTCTCATATCATCAACCATAGCAGCATGGATCCAAGGGCCAAGCTGCAAACCATCTTGGCAGCTCCACTCTACAAAAATCGATGGATCGATCACATCGGTCAGAATACAATCGGATTGGAAAATGGTTAGGAAATATTATGATTATTGAACATCCTAGGGAAAGTAATTTGATTAATCGGGGGCTATTCAGAGTATTTGATTTGACAAATTGGATTTTCCTGATAAATTAAAATTATCCGGGGTTGTATTTTATAAGACTCAAAATCTAGGGGCTCTGGCTTTTATTAGTCCACTGTGTCTCTCATGCTCCAGGACTGTTTGACTACTTGGATCTACTTTTTAAAATCTAAATCTAAATCTCGAGGAGATATCCGACATTATGCCATGTGGCGATAGCTTATTGGTCGCATCTGATCTCTGACATCTCGGTTTCGAAGATCTCGAAACCCAACAGGCAATATAGAATCGTGTTTCGAAGATCCGGCGCACGTTTGGATAAGACTAACATGCACTTGCTAACTTGCGCTAAACAGGAATTTAACCCAATCAGCACTTAGATCTGATTAATTAATCAAGTGTTGCTTAGTCAGTTAATCTCGGGAAACTGAAATGGCGATCTTTTGACGTCAAAGCATCGTAGATCTCGAGGCGCATTGTACAGATCAAGTGAAACAGAGAAGAAAATGTACGGACCTGGTCACTGTTTCCGACAGCGGGGCCAGGAGACTGAGACTCTGCACTTGGTCCGGGAGCATCGGCCGATGGAGCCGGCGGGGTAGAAAGCGGTGACGGAGACGGAGTCTCCGGCTTCTTGGTCGGCGCCGGAGCCGGGGCCTGAACAGGTGGGGAGGCGAGAGGAGCTGGAGGAGGGGTCGCCGGTGGGGGAGATGATACTGGTGGCGGGGGAGACGCCGGTGGAGGAGAAGAAACCGGTGGAGGAGTCGCCGGAGGAGGAGAAGAAACCGGTGGGGGAGTCGCCGGAGGAGGAGCGGAAACCGGAGGTGGTGGGTTAGCGGGAGGAGGAGCGGTGGCAGGAGGAGTGGAGACTGGCGGTGGTTGGTTCGCCGGAGGAGGAGCTGTGGCAGGCGGCGGAGTGGTGGTTGGAGTCGGCGGCGCAGGTGTGACGGTAGGAGGAGACGAGGGAGATTGACCGCCGACGCGAGCGACGAGGACGACGAGGAGAACAGTGAATACGAGCTTCATGTCCATGGCTTCTGTCTGTGCTAACGTGCGCAGTGAATGACAAGACACGAAGTATGGGAGAGAGGAGGAAATACAAATGGGTATTAAATAGGAAAAAATAAGGATTGGGACTGAGGAAAACGTCGTCGTATTGGATAGATGGTGGAACCCACACTGCCATGTGATAATTGGCGGTGCTAGCTCTGTTGACACGTTGGCATGTTCATAATTTAATTTGGTGGTATTAGTTGTACATTAACGGTAACTCTTTTAAAAAAAAATCCAAAATATTTATATCCAGAATTTGAAGAAAATAGCAGTAATTATTGTACATCAAGACAAAGGCCTCTTACCTAATGAAATATAGTTTGCGTGTGTTGTAAAACTAGCAATAAAAAGAAAACTATAAATCATACAAACTTTTGTTTTATTTGATTAACCTCTTTATTTTGTTAAAATATAACATATATTCAGAAATTTACGATCGAAAATTAGATTTATTTGGATATATTGATAATTAAAATTTTAAATATATTATTTTAAAAAGTAATTAGTTATATAAACAATATATTTAAGTGTCTGTGATTAAAACAATAATGTCACATACACATCTTAATTATAAAATTGTCTCTTTCTTTGATAATTCTAATAATAACATCCATCATTATATTTTTTAATACTACTAATTTAAATAAACATGATAAAAAAATAGTTGTCATTTTTAAAATAATCTATTTAAATCCTTAATAATTCATATATCCCAAAAATTCTTCTTCAAATATATATAATTTTTTACATTTTAAAAAACACCAATTTAAAATCTTAATGCCAAATAAAATATAAAGTTTTTATAAAAATATATAAATTTATGATAATTTTTATTAAAAGTATTATAACATACATATATTATATTTAAAATAAATAATAAAATTATATATAATCATATATATCTATATGACATTTTAGTTATAATTTGAAAAAATATATTCACGACATTAAATTATTATTGTTATAACTAATTTTTCACATAAATTGAAGCATATAAATTAATAAAAATTAAAATTTTACATATTTTGTTTTATAGAAATATAATTTTTTATTTGATTTTTTTATAACTAAAACTTTAAATGGATGTTAGTAATAGTTAATGATTTTTTTTTAGTTTTTTATATGTCTAAAAATTGAAATAATTATTTATACTTATAGATAGTTGACATTTTAAAACGGTTTTTTTAAACGTTAGAAAATATTTTTGGAAGTTTTCTTTATAATTTATTTTATAAAAGAGAGGGAAAAAGAGTGCCTTAGAAACAAGATGGAAAAAGGGGAAAGACATGATGAGGTGGTCGGTTCGGTAACATGTCTTATTGCAGGGTTTTAATCGATGCTTTTTTAACAGATTATAAGGTTTCATTGTCTTAATGTCTTTTTTTTTTATAATCCGAAAGAAATTTTCGGGCCTTTGATCCAACTACATCTCCCAGATGAACGGAAAAGTCCAGGTGAATATCATTCTCACGTTTGGATTTGAACCCAAGATAAAAACATGTTTTGCATGTTCTCTTACCACTAAACCACCGAAACTTGAGTTTGTCTTAATGTTTTTTTATTAATCCGAAATTTCGTCGGGCCTTCGGTCCGACTACATCTCCTAGAAGACCGAAAACCCATGTGAATACCCCTCCCCACCCTCAAGAATCGAACCGCTGACGTGAAGACACATTGGCCCACAAACTTCCATTTCTTACTTATACCGCTATAAAACTAATAATTAAATTCATATAATTACTTAAATAGCAACTCTTATAATTCGAGACAGGATCCATACCTTATATACTTTATATACTCTCTCAAACGTACTGATTATTATATTTTATAAATGCAAAATCGTATTACATAAATTTTGTTGATGGTGAAGATCTCATTGCTAGATATTTTCTGTTCTAATTTTTTTTTTGTATAATTCTAGTTTTATATTTCTTTGTACATCCTAATTTCGATACCCATATAGTTATATCTTATCTTACCATTCATCCTCATTTTATATATTCTATTCATTCTCCATACTAAAATCTTATTATTCATTCGTGGTTTTTTTCATAGATTTTTATTATATATTAAATTTACTTTTAAAATTTTGTTTATTTTACAATTTAAACAATTATCGTTAAATATTTGAGTGGAAGTCTTCAATTTTGTTGGTTGAAAGCACATGTCCTCTAGTAAGAGGTTATGAGATCAAACTTCCGGAATATGAGTTTTCTCTGAATCTGTCAGTTCCGATTGGATTATCCGTAGTTTGTAGGCTATTGTATGAGATCGGTAACTTTACTTCATATCCGAAGGTTGGTGGTGATTTACTCAATTAAAAAAAGTTAAATGTTTGAATTTCCAACGTTTAATTTCCAATTTTTCAAACTTAGGTTTTAGCTACTATTGTAGGATGACCGTGGGAATATATAATTTTCTTATGAAATACCAAATCTATTATCTGTAGATTAATTCTTTTACGATGAAGTTTTGTTTTGGTAAAATATATCGATGAAGTTCTTCACCCTCTATATTCCTTTTGTTATATAAGCTTTTATTTAATCTACATAAACATCTATTTTTATTTTGTATTTTCACGTTAATCTAATTCATATAAAATCCCAAAAATTTACGTATTATAAAAAAATATTTTTTAAGTGTAGTTGTAGATGCTATCAAGATTATTCTTTTTGGGACATGAATACAGATTTGCGAAAACTGTACATTGCAAATACGCAAAACAGAAGGCACGCGTAAAGACATTTTGGCAGGTGGTTGTCATCAATGATTATGCATAATTAATCATTATTATGCCATAATTATCATTTTGTTCTCCCGGAGGTATCTATTACTCCCTTTATTTCAAAATAATTGTGGTTTTAAATTATTTCATATTTTTTAAGAAAAAATAGAAAAAATCACATATACCCTTATTTAATGATAAAAATAATGTTATTATTAATAATTTATTTGAATTTAATAGAGATAACATTGGAAACTATTGTAAAAAAATATCTTGAAAATGTAGAATGACAAATATTTTGAAATATGAAAAATAACCTAAAACTATAAATATTTTGAAAACGGAGGGAGTAATATTTTTTTTGAAAATTGTGAGATTTATAAATTGCTGCCTCAGAATATTATTGTTTTGATATCATGTATTCGTTATAATGGGCTAATTTTATGAGCTTTAGTAAAACTAAGCCCAATGTGTATAATTGGACAGGCCCATTAAGGATTTTATACAATTTTGTTTCTTAATTTAATTAACTACAAACGACCAAATTTAAAAAATTAATTAAATATAAATTTTTAATCATTCTAATTTAAAATTAAAACAATTAAAAAATCTCAAATGTCTGATATTAAAAAACCCGCAAATTAAAATAATTAAAATAAAGAGCAAATGTGGTATACATAATATATTTGTCAACGACAATAATCCCTCTCTTTTTCTATTCTGTTTCCATTCCTCCACAGATATTCGTTTTTCAAAACGTTTTAAAAGGAAATAAAAAGGCAAAACCCTATCGTCTTCCAAATCCACTGCACACAATCACCGATAATGGCGGTTTCTTCTGGAATCTTCTCCGCATTTCTCTGCATCGAGCCCCCGCCGTTTCGCAGCTCATTGTCTCCTCCCTCGTCTCTCCGTCTTGCCCCGAGTCCGGCTAACGTGCGCATGGCGCGCACGGTGACATCCGCGACGGCGTCCTCGGAGCCCACCGCCACGAAGAAGCGGGAGCCACGTGGCATCATGAAGCCGCGCCCTGTAACTCCGGAGATGCAGGAAGTCGTCGGCGTGTCGGAAATCCCTCGCACCCAGGCTCTCAAGCGCATTTGGGCCTACATCAAGGAGAACAACCTTCAGGTATCCGACCCCTGTCTCTGTCGCTGTCTGAAATTTGCTGTCGTTTTGAAACATTTCTGTGTTGGTTTTGTGGGTTAGGGTTTGTTTTTGGGTTTTTTCCGAACTGAGCTCTAGGGCCTTATGGATTCAGGTCGACAGCGTCTAAGAATCGGAATCTGGTGTGTTGATGTCGAGATTTCTGTGTCTGTATGTCATTCGGTTGTGTTCTTGACTGTCATCTTTACAATTCATCGTTGATGTCCTAACTTAAAAGGTTGAGAAATCTGGTGAAGTTAGAGGTTTGTCTCTGTTTTTCGCAAAGAGATTAGGTTTATTGTTATTATTGGTTGCTGATACCGCTTGCCCTAGTCTTGCTTCATGATATTGTTCTCAAGACACCGCCTTCATCAAATTATGGGAAATTTGGCTATTTGGAGATTGTTTCTAAACTCAATGAACATTGTTTTGAGTTGCGCATTTTGGGTTTAACTATGTGGACTTCCTACTTGGTATGCCTATTCTCGGGATGTCGGATGTTGTCTGATATTGGCATCTGCCCCTTTTTTTAAACATTTCTGTCGCTGTCGCTGTCTGAAATTTGCTGTCGTTTTGAAACATTTCTGTGTTGGTTTTGTGGGTTAGGGTTTGTTTTTGGGTTTTTTCCGAACTGAGCTCTAGGGCCTTATGGATTCAGGTCGACAGCGTCTAAGAATCGGAATCTGGTGTGTTGATGTCGAGATTTCTGTGTCTGTATGTCATTCGGTTGTGTTCTTGACTGTCATCTTTACAATTCATCGTTGATGTCCTAACTTAAAAGGTTGAGAAATCTGGTGAAGTTAGAGGTTTGTCTCTGTTTTTCGCAAAGAGATTAGGTTTATTGTTATTATTGGTTGCTGATACCGCTTGCCCTAGTCTTGCTTCATGATATTGTTCTCAAGACACCGCCTTCATCAAATTATGGGAAATTTGGCTATTTGGAGATTGTTTCTAAACTCAATGAACATTGTTTTGAGTTGCGCATTTTGGGTTTAACTATGTGGACTTCCTACTTGGTATGCCTATTCTCGGGATGTCGGATGTTGTCTGATATTGGCATCTGCCCCTTTTTTTAGTGTTTTTACATCTAAAGCTCCATTAGGGTTTATCTGGTTGGGGCAATTGATTACCTTCAGTGTTAACAGTTTCATGGTGTCTGGTGTTAGCCTCCATTGTATCAAACAACTGAAATTTTCGCCCTTTCATGATTTTTGGAGAGTTCAAGTAGTTGCTGATGCTGCGCAATGGAATTCGGGATTCCTTTTAGCTGATATTTTATCAACATTTTCGATATTCTATTGATAAGTCCGAGGATTCTTGCATCAGACTAGCATTTTCCGTCTTTTGAAGTCCAATCGATAGATAATGCATCTGTTGTTTCTGGCTCCCTTCTTTGGCATGTTTCCGGACTCACAAGTCAGAAAACATAATCATCATCATCATCATCAGCTTTAACAACAATTGCTACTGGAAACTGCTATGTGACTAAACACGATTTCGATGTCGTTTCTCTCAGGACCCTGCAAACATGAGGGACATAATCTGCGACGAGAAGCTGAAGAAGATTTTCGATGGCAGAGATCGAGTCGGATTCCTCGAGGTGGCTAAGCTCATCGGTCCTCACTTTCTCTGATGAGCCCATAGAGAAGATGACAGTATCTTTCCAATCAGGGCCATGAAGAAGTGTGAAGTGAGAGAGGCTGCCTATAGATTTGTTGGGGTGAAATTAGCAGTTTTAGGGTTTCAAAAGTTTGTGTGCAAAGTAAGTAGCAGTAGCCTTCCCAGGAATTTTTGCTTTTGGCTTTCAATGGATAATATCTGCTTTGCTTCCCTTTGCAGTTAATATATATATATATATATATATACACACTTGTTTTTACAGTACCTTTTTACTTCACTTGCATATAGTAAAATTGGTGATAATCGAAAACCATGATATTTTTTTGCGAACGATATCATTTAAATTTTTCGAATGATATATTTTTTGTAGAACCGAATTTTATTCGAACTTTATAAAATTTTTAAAAAATTATTTTTTTAAAAAAATCTAATTTTTTAATAAAAAAACAAAATCGAATCGTATTAAAACTGAAACTAAATCAAACCGAATAATATATAATATAATACTAATTTGGTATATAATATCGAATAAATCGTTTTTTGATCGAATCGCTAAAATTTCGAATGGAATTCAAAAACGCTCACACGATAGTATAGTTAATACTTAATAGTTCCTTGAGAAAAGGACAAAAAAAATATAATTGTACACACCTACAAATGAAGGGTTACATTATATTGTATATATGTATTTTATTATTTATAGATTATAATTTAGCCTAGGATAAAATAATAAAAAGTATTATGCCAGTCTAATATTCATTATTTAGTTTTTTTTATAATGACACTTTTATATTTATTTCTTTTTTCTATATTTCCAATGTTTGACTGCCAATTTTTTGTATCTAGCATTAATTTGTTCAAGCTTAGCGAGAATGGACCTGATTTTTATTCTATATATAAATTGGAAATAATGATGAATGTTCTACGAACAAATTTGAAACCAAGTGAAATCAATGTAAAAGAACGAAAAATAGATTGTCCAACCGGATTTCTTAACCGGTGCAATTATTGCAAACCGGTTCGGCAAATTTTTTTAGCTGATTGTGGATTGGATTTTGGTTTTCGAAGCCGAAGATACTTTTGAAGTTGGGAACAAAAAATATAAAAACAAATGTAATCCATTTCTCTTCGTTGCTTCTTTTCTTCTCCCTCTCCCGCTAGTTTCACAGCGCAGACGGACACGAAGCTCTTTGTTTTCTCTTGCTCTAATGGCGGATAAACTAGCTCTACCTCTTCTCCTTCCAAACCCACCTTCCTCGAAACCCTTATTTCCCGACCAAAACCACCAGCAACTCCCCAGGACACCGCCGCTGCAGCCATCGCTTCCACCTCCGCGGCCTCCGGCGCCGGTGGATCCTCTCCTTCGAGATGTGTTTCATCACCAGAATGCGAATTATGGGCTACCCATCAATCCACAGACGCCTAGGGTCCGGACGCGGACACGAATTGGCAAGTCCCGCGACCCGAACCGCGGTAAGCCGTGGTCCGACCATGGCCTTTCTCCTGAGGGGAAGCAGGTCCTTCGTTGCTTGATCGAACCCGGGTTTGATTCTGATCAACTTGATGGTCTCTTGTCGGGATTGTTCGAACCGTATAAGGATAACCCACTCGGGAAAACAGGTTCTTTCTCCGCGGAACTACTGGGTCTTGTTAAGGGTTTAGGGTTTAACAAGAAATTTGATTTGGCCCTGCGTGCATTTGATTGGTTTAGGAGGCAGAATGGTTACCAGTCCATGTTGAGTAACTCTGTTGTTGCTGTGGTTTTTACTATGTTGGGGAAAGATGGTCAGGTATCTTCAGCTGCAACTTTGTTTGATGATTTGCAGAAAGACGGGTTTGCTCTTGATGTGTACTCTTATACTTCTCTGATATCGGCATTTTCTAGTAGTGGAAGGTACAGAGAAGCTGTTATGGTGTTCAAGAAGATGGAGGAAGAAGGGTGTAACCCAACTTTGATCACTTATAATGTGATTTTGGATGTGTATGGGAAAATGGGTATGCCCTGGAATAAGATTACTGGCCTCGTGGAGGGGATGAAGAGTGCCGGGATTGCTCCTGATGTGTACACATACAACACTCTTATAAGTTGTTGCAAACGAGGCTTGCTGCACGAGGAAGCTGCTCAAGTTTTCGAGGAGATGAAGGTTGCGGGGTTTGGTCCCGATAAGGTTACTTACAATTCATTGCTTGACGTTTATGGCAAGTCCAGACGACCTAGGGAAGCTATGCAGGTTTTAAAAGAGATGGAGCTCAATGGCTTTTCTCCAAGCGTCGTGACTTACAATTCCTTGATAGCGGCTTACACTAGAGATGGCTTGCTGGACGAAGCAATGGAGCTCAAGAACCAGATGACTGAAAAGGGGATAAAACCTGATGTTTTCACTTATACGACGCTTTTATCAGGATTTGAGAAGGCTGGAAAAGACGAAGCTGCTATGAAGATTTTTGAGGAGATGAGAATCACAGGGTGTAAGCCAAGCATTTGTACTTTCAATAACCTTATAAAGATGTATGGTAACAGGGGAAAGTTTGCAGAAATGATGAAGATTTTCGATGAGATCAATGCATGCAGTCTTTCCCCTGACATTGTTACTTGGAATACACTGTTAGCAGTATTCGGGCAAAATGGGATGGATTCGGAAGTATCAGGTGTATTCAAGGAGATGAAGAGAGCAGGATTCGTACCGGAAAGGGACACTTTCAACACTCTAATTAGTGCATATAGCCACTGCGGTTCGATTGATCAAGCTATAACCGTTTACAAGAGAATGCTTGAAGCTGGGGTCACTCCCGATCTTTCCACATATAATACTGTTTTGGCAGCTTTGGCCCGGGAAGGAATGTGGGAACAGTCTGAGAAAGTTCTTGCGGAGATGAGGGATGGTCGGTGCAAACCCAATGAATCGACTTACTGTTCTCTGCTTCATGCATATGCAAATGGCAAGGAGATAGATCGGATGCATTCATTAGTTGAAGAGGTGTACTCAGGTGTTATAGAGCCCCGTGCAGTTCTTTTGAAGAACCTTGTTATGGTTTGTAGCAAATGTGACCTTTTGCCCGAGGCGGAGCGTGCGTTCTCCGAGCTTAAAGAAAAAGGGTTTTCTCCAGACATAAGAACGCTGAATTCCATGGTCTCTATGTACGGAAGAAGGAAGATGGTTGCAAAAGTCGATGAACTCTTGAACTTCATGATTGAAAAGGGGTTTACTCCGACATTGGCTACATACAATACCTTAATGTCTATGCACAGTCGGTCCGAAGATTTCGGGAAATCGGAGGAAATCTTGAGGGAAATACTGGCCAAAGGGATGAAACCAGACATAATATCGTATAACACGGTGATTTATGCCTATTGTAGGAACGGCCGGACGAGAGATGCTTCAAGAATATTCTCGGAGATGAGGGATTCGGGGATTGCTCCGGACGTTATCACGTACAACACCTTTGTTGCTACTTACGCTGCCGACTCAATGTTTGAAGAGGCTATTGGTGTTGTTAGGTACATGATCAAGAATGGATGTAGACCGAATCAGAACACCTACAACTCCATTGTGGATGGATACTGCAAGTTAAATAGGAAGGACGAGGCAAAATTGTTTATTGAAGATCTGAAAAAGCTCGATCCAAGTATTCCGAAAGATGAGGACCGCAGGTTGGTGGACCGCATGGCTAAGCAATGGCCGTAGACCCGTTTTGTTCAATGTTTAAAAACTTTTTGGTTGTATAGAACAGACTGATATAAGCATGGGATCGGTCTTGGATAGTGTTGTAAAGTTTACAGAGACAAGATTCATACAGTGCAAAAAGCTGTCTGAATGTCTTGTCTGTCTCAGGTGATGATCACCTGTCTTGTCCAGTTTTGGGTAATATCTTCATATTTCAGAAGGTAAATTTGTTGCCTCATTATCCCTCTGATTATTGACAAATTTGACCTAATTCTGTGCCTCCACGTTGTGCAAAATCAAATTCAAGAACCTGTTGCTTTGCCTTTAGGTTTCAGAAGCAGAGTATCTGCAAAATGGGTCACCACTACCAGGCCACAAGCTTCTTATACTAATGAAAAATCCATACTTTAGAGGGAATATAACTAAGCTACCATACTCATGAGTTTCACAATTTACTCCAAGAGAGCTAGTTACAAACAAACTCTTAAAACATTCATTGTGATAGTTAAAATTGTAATAAATAAACAAATCACTACCAGGAACAAGACCCACCCACCATTCTCCTTGAGTTCTTCTGAATCTTCCAAGACTATTCTCCTTGAACAAATTTTCAGCAAGGCCCTCCTTCTCAAAGTCAGTATATTGTGTGGAGCATCCGCAGCTCGTCCGCCTCGTCCGAGCGGAGTGAGTAGATGTCCGGTGGGGCCGTGACCCCATTGTTCTGCAGCCTCTTCGTGGCAGATTTGTGGTGGTCAAGGTAAACCACGATCACGCTTATATCGTCATGGAAATGCCGTCTTATCCCTCTCTCGACCTTCGTCAAGTCTCTGTATCTCATTTCCCGTTTCCTCGCAGCTTTCTCAAGAGCTGCCTTTACTAGTCTCCGTGCTATCCCCTGAAGATAACGGTAGCAAAACATTAAAAGGGCTAAGGCCGGGTGGATCAAGACACGAGCTCCGGGAAGTTAAGTCAGGGTTTGTTTCCGTGTTAAACTTACGGTTCTTGGGTATTTAAGAACGATTTCTACGGCTGCTTCATCAGTTAGCTGTTCCCAGAGACCATCTGATGCAAATATCAGAAACAAGTCCTGTGGTTTGATCTTTCTCACCAGGATAGACGGCTCAGCTGTCATGGCAGGTCTCCGCAAAGGAACAGGGTTTCCGTGTTGCTGGAAAATCGGGTCTCTGTAAAACTCCGGCTTCTTCAAGTATACATCCCCAATTGATCTCGATACCTAGAAAAACAAAAGGGTATAGAAATCATTCGGGGAATTTATACATCGAAATCAAGGTACACGTAAACAATCATCGGTCCTAGCAATAAAAAACACATATTCCCATCATTGTATAGAACTCTGCCTATCCTTGCCATTCTTACAAAAATCATTAAAAAAAACAGTGAAAAGAGTGGAGAAATAGCATGACTCCCAGATTCATAGCCTCCGGCACTACGCTTGGGGGGCTTGCCATGTACATCTCATACATCACAGGACTAAATTTCACTAAGTTGCATGAGACAATATGAGTTCAGGAGCCCGACCAATGGATTCCTGGAACATTTGCAAGCCCCTTTTTAGATTAGCCTCAACTCCATAAGCAAATGGAAATAGAGAAAGACACTGTCAGATCACATGTTCCATTCACACAACAAAAAATCACAAAGTCCATCATACAATAGAGATGCCAGTGGTAAAACCGATATTGTACCTGAATTATGCCTTTAATCCTCCAAGCACCTCGCGTGTACATAACGATATGGGAATCATCGGGGTTAAGTGCTTCAACCTCCTTTCTGACCTCTTGAACTGCAACATTATGATCCGTGGATAGCCTTTCCGGCACTACCCTTTTAGTCTTGTCCTCTGAAACTTTTCTACCAAGAACGGCTCTTGAATCCCCGAGATTCGCAACATAGAGGGTGTCATCAGAGATTGCACCCACCAGACAACATGATCCCACTGTCGCCATCTGTGGTTTCATAGGAAGAGACCGTTTAACCATATGGCAAAACTCTTCCTCTGTCTCTTTGAATGCTTTTTTAATCACATCTTCGGATAATCCCCCTTGTTCCCTGGAAAATTCTGCGGATTTCAACACAAAACAGTTTCATCAACCAACAGAATTTCAAAGATTAATCTGCTTACAAACAAAGAAAACAGTTCCATTTCGTCGGAGATAAAAACGATAGAAAACCACATATCATGAGCCGAAGCAGTTTCGGGCTTAAACCACGGAACAAGATCATCACAAGCAAAACCTAATATCAAGTAAGCGTCTTTAACGGATTAAGCGAGTAGAATTAAGATGTGTTCCGAGTTTGCTAGTCAGGATCATGATCAAGAACAGAAATGATACCAAAAGAACCACCAACCCCTCAAAAAGGCCAAAACGCGGTTAGGGTCAGAGAATTCACACAGGCGAACCCAAAAACAGAGAATCCTCGAACCATCAGATGAACCCTAAAGACAGTTCCACGTAAGAGCTGAGATCATTACTGTGCATAAAAGGGAAGAGATGTCTGTTGACGAATCTCGAAGCTTCAGGTCCTCCATGCCCGTCGTAGACGCCGACATAAGTAGTCGAGGCAGAGGTAAACACCTGACTCTGATCCTCGAGACTTGAGTTCGCCTGAACCACCGCAATCGAGTAATCGCAGTAGAATTAAGATGTGTTCCGAGTTTGCTAGTCAGGATCATGATCAAGAACAGAAATGATACCAAAAGAACCACCAACCCCTCAAAAAGGCCAAAACGCGGTTAGGGTCAGAGAATTCACACAGGCGAACCCAAAAACAGAGAATCCTCGAACCATCAGATGAACCCTAAAGACAGTTCCACGTAAGAGCTGAGATCATTACTGTGCATAAAAGGGAAGAGATGTCTGTTGACGAATCTCGAAGCTTCAGGTCCTCCATGCCCGTCGTAGACGCCGACATAAGTAGTCGAGGCAGAGGTAAACACCTGACTCTGATCCTCGAGACTTGAGTTCGCCTGAACCACCGCAATCGAGTAATCGCCGCCGGCGTGCGGTCGCAACCCCCCCTGCCAGAGTAAGCCGTCGCTGCCGACTCGGCTTCCAAAACACCGCTCGAGAGGCCGCACAAGGGATCGCAACGTCGTCATCGAGAGGAGTTCTTCCACAGAACCGAAGTGGAGGGTTTTTTCTCAGTTGGGTTTGGATTCAAGATTCGTGGGGTTTTCGATTTTTCGAGAAGTTTGATCTTTTCTTCGTTGGATTCGATCGGTTTTGGAAAGGGGATTGAGTCGAGAGTTGGTAAAAGAGAGGAGAAAACCGCGTGAAGAAGATGACGACAGATGACTGGTCCTGACGTTCGTTATTTAGCTGCGTCGACTACGCGTCGTTTTTATAGGCAGCATTTTGCTTCGCTTTTTTTTTTTTCCGTTTTTTATTTGTTTTTGTTATTTTCGCAGTGATTTCTTTTTCTTTTTCTTTTTCTTTTTATGCTGTTTTCTTTTGTTTTCAACGCGCCACTTTATGTTTTGTTCCTTTTCTTCCCTTGTATAATCAAATCTAAAATTAAAAAACAACTATTTTAATAAAATAGAATCAAGTCAAATTTGATATAAAATTAAATTATCATCTTTTTATAAGAAAATAAATAATAATATAATTAATTCCGAATCATATTTAAGATAATTGTTCTTTGAAAATTTTTAAGATATATTTTTAAAACATTTTTATTTGTCACCCCTTTTCTAATTCTCAATATTAGTATATCATTAATATATATAATTACTTTCTTACTGGTAATTAACACCATATATGTATCCGTTATAATATGGTTGGGCATTATTGATTCTAATGGAAAAACTGTTTTTTTAACCAAAAAAATTAAATAAACTTTTGCAAATAAAAACATTTTAAAATGTTTGAGGAAAACTTAGATTTAAAATTTTTATAATTCCAATTGTTTTTAATCGTACTTTGCAAAATTCAGTTTCTTTTGCATACTTTTAAATTTCGAGGTGTTTTATTTTCATTTAAACGCACTATTTCGAATTATTTTTCCTTTATAAAATGGTCAAATCACACGTGAAATACCATGCCTTATGAGTCAGCGGAATATTAAGCTTCGACAAATTTTGGAAAATTAAGGGATAATGTATTATTATTTTGCATAAATACGACAAATTACAATGAACCAATATATCTATGAAAAATAAACGAGAAAAATGTTAAAATATGTGAAACGCTAAAAGTTACCGTAAATCTCTCTTTTATTTTTACTATTCTCAGTAAAACATAAAATTCAGAATGACAAAAACGGTAAGAATTTAAATTTTTCTAACATATTTCTTAACCAAAATATTACGAATTAATTAATGTTGCCTATTTTGAAATTCGTTGATAACTTGAAGAAATAAATTTGTTCAAATTATAATACAAACAGGGCCTTCGAATTTCCCGTGGGCGGATCTTATTTTATTTGTTATATAGTCAAATGTTTTTCAGATACGTAATTGCCATATGAATATGTCAAGCTATTATTTTTATATGCAAATTGCATATTTTTTTATTTTATTTTATTTTATTTATACTCCGACATGGACCGACCATAATTAGATATGGTTACAGCTAGAAACACAATCCCAGAACGAGAATAGTTAATGGCTTTGAGAGACTAATCAGTGTATTTGTTGCCGCAAAAAAATGGTTAAAAAAAAATTGCCCATCTAAAAATGTCTACAATCCTCTTGGGGCCCCGGACCAGTTTGAATCCAGCTGCTGGGGAGGGAGGGGGTGTTTTCTCGGTTGGGAGGGTGTTACTCTCTGGACCCCTGTCACCGGGCTTCTAAAGGCTGTTCCCGAGCCTGAAGGAATGTAGGTTGGGTCGAAGGTCCTGGTGAACCTCTCGGTTATCAAAAAAAAAATGTCTACAATCTCGAACAAGAATATCAAAATATTTATTTAGAAAACTGGATTTTATATTTTTTTTCCCTTACAAATATCTATGTAATCAATGAAAAAACTCATGGTCCAGCAATGCTTACTTCCATGAAAAGGAAATGAGATCGATCTCGCAGATCCTACCAAAACAAAATTTTCTATTTTAAAATACTTACGATTATGTATTAAAAAATTGAAATGTATACTTATATCAACTCAATGACAAAATAAATAAATAAATTTAAAGATATTACAATATACTAGTGATAATCATGCAAGAAGTTTCAATGTTTGAAACCCATGTTTAACCAAAAAAAAATGTTTGAAACCCATGTGAAAATCATAGCATATTTCGGGTTTCGATTTGAGTTCAGGTTATATTCGAATTTAATTATTTTGATTTGATAAAAAATATAATAATTCGGTTTTTATATTAACTTGTTTAGTTAGATTCACAGTTAAATGTTAATTAGATTTGCACAATTTCACTCTATTATAAATTCTAAATAAAATATATTTATTTAATTATTCATACATCTTTAGTCTTTCTAAAAAATTATTATTATTTTACGAAACTTATAATAACTCTTTTTTTTTCTTGAAATTTTAAATGATTCGCAGATTATATTTTAAATTTTAATATAAAACTCGTATATAGATTTAAAGATCCTATATGGCTATGTGTCCAATCGTACCGTTAAACAAAATAACGCGTGGCGAAACGAAAGAAAACAAAAAAGGAACGGCAGGGGGCAAAATCGGCATTGTATGAATTTAAGTTCCAAGACTGCAACGTGGAATGATGTGACACGTGGCTTCCTCAGAGTGGAGCATTAGTGACACGTGTCGAGGTACTGTTAATGTAAACCTAACAATGTGAATTAATTACAGATGTTTCTTTCATCCCAAAACAGAGGGGTGTTTGGGTTTTGGTGCGTTGATCTTTTCCCACGCGCCTTTTTCTGATGCGATTTGCACGCGCCTCCCTCGATTAATATGAAAAAGGATAACTTTTTTATAGTTAAAAAATATATTTTCTAGAATAAAGAGAAGTTGAAGTGAATATTGTTTTTTAAGTGAAGATTCGACTTTAAATTAAAAAAGAGTTTTGTTTTATTTTTTTATCCATTTAACATCCCAATTTTGATGAAAAAATATAAAATTACATTAAAAATCTATATTTATCATAATATTATAAAATTTAATCTCAAGTTATAATTTGTAATCTAAATATCAATTCATGAAACGAAAATTAGTAAATTTATACAACTGCAAAATAGTAATATTTTCCAAGTAAATGGAAAAGTGTAAATTTTTTGTCACTTCTTTCTTTAGACAACTCTAATTTGATTTATACATGAAGATATTTAAATTTTTTTAAGAAAAAATCTCTAAAAAAATATTGAACTTTTCAATTTATAAAAAAACACCGAGTTTTATTTTTTTAAGTAAATATTAAATTTTTTAAACGAATTTAAAAAAATACTGAACTTTTTAAGTGATCCAAAAAATACATAAATTTTTCTGCGATTATAAAAAAACACTGAATTTTTTTAGTGATCTAAAAAAAATATATGAAATTTTTTCGATTGTAAAAAAGACTAAATAAAATAATCTAACGTGTTTACATCTCATTGTGTCACGTCAGTCATTTTGTTTATTTTGATGATCGTAGAATAATTAAGTGTTTATTTTGTCAAAGTTAAAAAATTTAATATTTATTTGATAAAATAAAAAGTTTAGTATTTTTTAGTCAAAAATTGAAAATTCAGTATTTTTTTGGATTTTTTTAAAATATGAAAGATCTAATTGATTTAACTAATTCAACAACAACTACACAAACAACTTTCAACTTATTTAATTGCATATTTTGGAATTTAAATATTTATTAAATTGAAATATTTGTACTAAAATTTTATAAAATAACGAGACATTAGTTTCAAAATTTTATTTAACTTATTGTTAAAAAATTGATTAGAATTAAATTCAAATTAATTATAGATTTATATCGAAACAATATTTTTTTTATACTCATTCCCGCACCTTCGACTCAACTATATCCACCCTAGGTTCGAGATCAATTTTTGTATATGGATCATTTTGATACAGAAATTACATCTCTCGCCATCAGTAAAATCGAATACAGGACATTAACTTTGTCACCTCTTAACCACTGTACGACCAACTGTTGGGTTATATCGAAACAATATTAGATGAACATAGTATAAAACATAAAATAAAAAAATAAAAACATTCTTTTTTTTAAATAATATATTTAAAACTCAATTATCTTCGATTCAAATATTCAAATCCTATTCATCAAAAATTAAATATCCATAAAAAAAAATTCAAATCCTATATTATTCTAAATAGTTATTTTTATTGGCTCAGACAGCGAGTTAACAACAACTAGGTACTCGCGAGAAGAACATCGCATCATCAGCACAACAGGAACACCTTTGCCATTTCTCCTTCGCTTTCCTTTCTTTTCTTTTTTATTTTTTTCTATTTTTTAATTTTCAAAATATAGTATTTACGAAATAGATCTCTGTGTCGCGATTTCTTCTCCACAGGACGCCGTTTTTGTCAAAACCCTCTCAAAACCCCTCCACAGGCATCGGAATCGGAAATCGCGACGGTTAACGTCTCAAAATGCGAGGCGCCTCGCTTCGAAACGTCGCCTCCGACGCCGCTCGGTTGTTTCTTCGTCGGAACTCGCCGGTGAACTCGTTCGGACGAGTTGACTCGGTGACACGTGATTTCGGGGTTTTGCATTCGAGGGCTTATTTCCGTTCGCCTCATGTTCTGGCAAGACCTAAGCCTGTGGGAATCTCCGGTTTCTGCTCATCGTCTTCCTCGTCCTCGACGGCTTCAACGGCGTCGGTTGCGAAGGTGGGTTTCGTCGGATGGTATCTGGGTATGGTGAAATCGCGTCCGGTTCTGACCAAGAGCATCACATCTTCGCTTATTTACGTCGCCGCCGACTTGTCTTCTCAGGTAATCAAACAAAGTTCTGGTCTTTCTGTTCTAACGCTCGATGGGTTCCGAGGAAAACGATCAATGGGAAATGTAGCGTGGGAAACTTGTTTTAGTGGTTTTCATGAACTTCTATAGGCCTTTAATTTGAAAGTTACGAGCTTAAATTTATGAAATGGGTTGCTGTTGTTAAAGATGTTTCATGGTTTTAGGGCATGGAGTTCGAATTCCATCCAGAGTGTATAGAGTCTAGAGACAGGAGATGGAACTTGAAGTTAAAAGCTTTTAGCAGTTCACTTCATGTTGTTACTAGTTTCCTTTGTAGGATGTGATTATCGATTTTGGATCATAGGTATCAGTCAATCGGTTTTCTCCTCGACGATGTAAAGTTAGATACCTTATTGTAAGGTGGTTAGGCTGATTTAACCCTAAGACATTTTGAAGAATTCAGTTCTATGGTTTCAATACTTTCCTACCATCATTTAGGTTGAACTGTGGTTTCAATATGTGCCTTACATCGTGTGGAATTGAAGAAATAATAACGGACTGTGCCTTAGGAAGGAACATATGTTTCTTCTCTGGGTTTGATCCATCGTGTCTGTTGGCATGAATGGGAGAGTTAGCTGCTTGATTGTGCATCAAGGTGTTCTGTTTTGCAACTAGTTGTATCTGCTACGTATCTTTGTGATTGGCTCTTGTTATTTGGCCTTGAGTTTCGTGATGACGTGCTTTCTAATTGATATCCGGAACTTATCTTGGATCTTTCAAGCAGACAATTGCACAAACTTCATCGGAGTCTTATGATCTGGTAAGAACAGCACGGATGGCAGGATACGGGCTATTAATTTTGGGACCTACGCTTCACCACTGGTTCAACCTCATGTCCAGGCTCTTTCCCAAACGGGACCTGATCACAACATTCAAGAAAATGGCCATGGGTCAGACAATCTACGGGCCTACCATGACCGCTGTTTTCTTCTCCTTGAACGCGTGTCTACAAGGTAAGCTTTGCAGATATGTATCCGCAATATGCATTGTGCTTGGAAGGAGGTGTGTTTTCTCTTCCCTAACACAGATTTCATTTTACCTGGTTTCAATTCAAAAGCAACATTTCGGAGGAGTTGCCTCTACTTTCCTTGAACTGACAGTGTTTCGAGTTAGACCAGTTTTGCTTAGTTTCGAACTTGTCTTGCAGACATCATTTTATATGTCTACTGTTTATACATGATAATTCTTATTTGTCTTGGTCAGCGTTTTTGGATTTTATCAATTTGCGCCGTTTGATAACACGGTAAATTTTGTTTCTTCCTTCAATTGTTGGTTCAGGTGAAAGCACGGCAGAGATACTTGCCAGATTGAAAAGAGACTTGCTCCCTACTTTGCTAAATGGTGTCATGTATTGGCCTATGTGTGACTTCATAACATTCAGATTCTTCCCCGTCCATTTACAGGTATGCCACCGCCTCGATTATTAAGCCCTTATTGCTCAATCAGTTCCTCCTCTGTTTCTGAGATTCTATCTAGTTTATAAAGCTATTGGCTTGCATTCATTATCCCGAGCCATTTGGTCCAAGACAAACCCTAAACTAAACTCCATTACCTTCCCTCGATCATTATCTGGTTTGCAACACAATTTCATTGCTATGGTGTCTTTGCAGCCTCTTGTCAGCAACTCGTTTGCATATCTATGGACAGTCTATATGACTTATATGGCAAGCCGTGAGAAAGCAAGCGCGATCGCGAGCTGAAACACCGACCCGAGTATCTATGGACACTGTTTTCAGGACACTATATCTCTGTTATGTGATGTCTTTTACCAGAACAGGGGACAATATAGAGTAGAACCCCTTTTAACCCTTATTTCCTTACCAAGAAGGCCACTTTTGCTTGCATGTGGTTGAATTGAAGAATGAAGAAATGAGATCCCAAAGAGCCCAACTTGGACTGCAGTTAGCAGTAGAGGCAGAATTCTTTAGGATTCGATTTTTTCTTTTTCTTTTATATACTTTTATATAGGTTTCTGATGGTAAATGTAAAAGCTTGGACCAACTATACACTTGGGCATATATGCTTATGTTATGTCAAGCAATGGGTTTCAGTTGCTTTTTAATGTTTCTTTGTCGTGCTAACTTTAAGACAGCACTCAAAACTTGTTACATTAGAGAGAAGAAAAAGGGGAAAAAAATACACGGAAGTGAAGAAATCAGCTATAACAAATGATTAAACCTCTCTCTATCTATGCCTCAATACATCAGCTATGACCAGAACTTATGAACTCTCTTGCTTGTTTTCTTCCAAAGCATTCTTTGGAACTCTCAAGCATTCTTTGGAGCTTCTCAGCAGTTAGACTCTTCAGACCCGAATTCGCCACTCAAATCGTGTAAGATGGTTTCAAGTGTCATTCCTTGCTTGAAACCAATGTGTAGCTAAACTACTCTGAAGCATGGGAACAGATCTTCTCAAGATGCACAGGCCATTCTTCTCCAAGAACCCGAGGATTCAACTCCATTGCAGCACGGAAATCCAACACCGATATGCAGGATAACCTTCTCGGTTGCTTCACGTGCCTGTCATTCCCTATGAACTGGCTATCCATTTCTCTCAATGGTTCATTTCCGCATCGAGAATGTGCCAAATTCAAACACGGCTCAATCACCCTTCTCAAAAATGAATCCAATCCGTTATTCAGAAGATTAATGCTGTCCATAGACATTCTCAGCCCTTCCATCTCCAACTTCCTCTCCAAACGACTCCTCAGTGTTCTTGAATCAGGAAGCTCCCCTCTGTTCTGACATGTTTCGAGATTTTTACTACTGCTACACATGGATACATTGGAAACAGATTTTCTAGCTCCGGTTTTAAGATTGATAGATACACCAAGAGGAGCAGCAACGGGACTTCTGCTTTGAATGCTCGGACTTCCCGCCATTTGTTCAACCTCTTCTCCTTCCTCCACAGAGGCAACTTCCATGGGAGGTCTACTGCCCAGAGAAAGCAATTCAGCCTTTGACATTGACTCGTCATTCGTAGTAGTAGTAATACTGTGAGGCTTCCCGAGCGGGCCAAGTGGACTCGGCCGGTTCCTCGACCTGCATTTGCGAGGCAGAGGAGGAAAGGGAGAATCCCCATAAAGAGACTGACCGTGATTCTTCTGATTCTCTCTGCGGGATCTAGCATTGCCCTCGGCTCTCTTCAGACTTCTCGGCGGCGGAGTTTTGGCGACACTCGCGTTCTTGAGGATGGAACGAATTAGACGGTTGTGAAGAGGGATGTTCTCCCTACCGATCGTCTTAAGACAGAACCTGTCAAATTCAGACTTGCTGACCCTCAAGGTAAGAAATCTACCGAGCTGGTCAAAGTACTTCTCTGCTCTTTGATGCCCGATCTCCCGAAAAACGAGGGCTTTTATCTCTAAAGTATCCAACCGAGCAAAACTTTGATCTGAACCCATCTTCACAAACTTTCACCTGAACTAATTCTCCTCAACAAAATTCTGAACTCTCGAGAAGATCAGAGGCTCGACAGAATCGGTCCATTCCCAACTCGAAACTTGGAAAATCCCAATTCTCAAACTTTAAGCAAACCTGCAAATTCAGATTCAGGGATTCAACACATACATTACATTCCAGAAAACCAAAAGAGAAGAAAACAAAATTCAGATTAAACTTGAGCTCAAAAGGAAAGTTAAATGTTCAACAGATTGACAGAATCCTCTCATGTAGAGTACCTTAAAGGATGAAATCAAGACAGAACCACGAGGCAGGAACCAAGGTTTTTCCGCAACTCCGAGTAGCAGAAACAGACAAACAAAGGAAGTGAAGAAGAAATTTTGGCGGGATCAGACTTCAAGCAAAGAGCCTTATCGGGAAACAGTGCATAATCCCAAATCGAAATGAGAAACCCAAAACGAGAATCTTTGGTCGATTTAGGTGGGGGAATTTCCTCGATTTTTGCTGTTCTTGAAGCGCTTCTGAATTCTGATGATGTTTGTGCCCTAAAATGATTTTATTTTTTCCTCGTATTTTTTCTTGCTATTGATTTCGCTTGCTTTTTTTTTCTTCTCTATTTTCGTTTTTTTGTCTGAGTTCGGTTTCGCACGTGCGTGAAATAAAGGGACCAAACGGGGCAAAGACTTTTTTTTTGTTACTGCCCATTTTTTTCTCCTTATGTCCACTTGTTTCATTAAAAAAAAATATATATGTTCTAAATATCATTTTAGAAAGAAAAAAAAATTCACTTGTTACTCTTAGTCCTTTTCCAATTTATTTTTCTTACAAAAATATTTGTTGATGATTCCCACAAATATATGTAAAATTGTAAATGTTCAAGTCTATTAGGTTGTTATTTGAAAAACAATCATAAACTTAAAAAAAAAAATTACATTTTTTATATACTTTTATATAAATAACTAGTGCACGGGTTTTGACTAGCTTTTATTTTATTTTTATATTTTATAGTAAAAATAATTTATGTATTTTTTTCTCCAGTTTTTTAATTATTATTATTTTTGCCATTCTCCACAATATTTTATTAGATCAGATTCCAAAACTGGATGAGGCATACCGTATCTTCTGACATCTTCACTGTCTTGTGTTCTTATTATTTCTCTTAGGCAAAGCTTTCACATTCAAAGTTAAAAAAAAAAAAAGAGGCACTCAATAGATTGATGCGAAGTGAAATTGATCTCATTGGCTTTCAAGAAAGGCAAAAGCCATCTTTTTGTTCCTTGACATTGTAATTTGCACAAACCGGCTTCCAATTTCATGTCGGTATCGAGATAACCAAACCCGGTAAACCACATTTCTTGAATTGTTGCATGTACCAAAAATCTCTAGGTCACATAGACTAGCCTTCTACCAAGCGTAATGTCCCCCCTAAATTCTCCTTCTCGGGATGAAAAAGATTCGGAAGAGACTTCGGAATGGTTAGCTTACCGGGCGATTATCGAGATGGTTTAACTTTAAGCCGATGATGCAGAAGAGGCAGCCTGTTCGGGTAAAGGAGGAGCCTCGCCAAATTTCAGAATGTAAGCAGACGTGTAGATGGGTCGAAGCTGCAGAATCGCTTGCCCGTCCAGATATGCGTCGCAGCAGAAACACCAGACCGACAAGTCGCTGTCATTCCCAAGAATTAAATCGGTTAGGGCAAAAATTTTAAAACAATACGATACTGTATCAAAGAAATGGTGAAGAAGAGCATACCTATAGCTAAGTGCGAGGCAGTGGCCAGTCTGATGGTAATGCGAAAGCATATGCCTGTTCACGAAACGGCTGCAGAGAACTTCTTCACAGCAAAGGCATAACCAATTCTCCACGGGGTTTTGACACCTGATGACAAGTTACGACCATATAGAGATACGATCACGATATGAATATGGCTGAAAACCGAACATTTGTTTTCGTTGATTGAATGCGCTGCCAAGGATTCGACCATGAACACTATGCAAAGGTGCTACATATGAATGCAAGTGACTCTCATACTTTGCAATAATAAGTTTACAATGGAGCTTATAACGATCGCGTGTATCCAAAATATTATTACCATAAGTTACTCGTCACTATACATTACACAGACAATGAATCCCGGGGGTATCTGTTACTTGTATGTTCTTATCCGTCATTTGCTTTATCTTTCAACCCCCAATTTCTAGGGAACAGAGTGAGCTAATACCCGGTAGGGTAAGGCAGCAAGCTAGCAGTAAATTCTCTGGCCTCGCAGGCTAAGCAATAGCCCATCGTGTTAGCAGAAGAAACAGAGCTTCGGCCTTCACTTACGGATACAATCCTCTAATTTTTTATCAGATTTTACATTCATATCTATCAGGTTACCCTAAAACCCACATTCTTCTCAGCATTTTCATGATCTAAATCTTTAGATGAGTTCTGCCATCTTAAACTCTTGAGTTCAATACTAATTATAAGCTCTCCCCAAAACTTCCCGTTTGCCTTCGGTGATCAATGAACAACAGCCTCATAATTATTTTTCCATCGTTCTACTCAAAGCTTCGGAAATTCAGACACTGAGCAATATAGCTTATGTTTTTCAAATGTCCACTCCAAAATCACCATTGTTGTACGGACTGATCCACTTCAAGTCACAAACTTCGTAAAAACTCAACCCTCTAGGACCGATTATATCGCCTAGACCCAAAACCCAGAAACCCAAATGTTGCAGAGTTAGGGTTTATACCTGGCGCAAGGAGAATCGGGAGCAGGTATGTTAGACAGATCGGGAGACAGAGACTGCAAGTGGTCGCACCATGTCCGAGCCTCAATCCAACCCGACCCTGCTCCGAATACCCAATCTTCTTCTTCGTCCGCACCTCCTCCTCGTCCTCCTACATCGAGATCCTGAAAGAGATCCATAAACCTTGGTGAAATTCTAAAATCTCCGGGAGAAAAAAAAAATCAGAAGATGACCTGTTGAATCTGCTGGGAAGAGGACGAAGAGGCCGTTGCTCTGTTCGCCATTGATGGACCTTCCTCGCCGTAGAACCTAAAATTGTCGTCGACGAATGTGCAATGGTTTCAAAGATTTGCAACATGCTGCATAATTAATAAAATCTAAAAACTTTGTACATTTGTGAATAAAACTCATCTTATTTTAATATAATATTTGAGTTTTATTTATGCTCTATATATTTTCTATATAAAAGTTTATAAAAAAAATTTAGCGACCAAAATATTCCTCTTATCTACCTTAATTTCGTTCTTTCCCTTAATTTGTTAAGAAAAAGATTTTTTTTTAAAAAAAAAAACTTGCAACCTCTAACTCCAAATCCGCACCCATTTTATGGAATGGATCAAAGAGTAAAAGATCAAAAATAAGTTTTGGAAATAATAAATTAAAAATCATTGCAAATTTATAGAATTTCATCTAGAGATTTTTATCTTTTGCCTCGAAGCTAGTTTTGCTTTTATAAAGAGGTGTTATAAAAATGGAAAGAGGGTATCAAAACATATTGAATCATTTATCAATTGCTATTTTTCATCGTACAAGTCTAGATTATTATTTTTGTATCTCGACGGTATCCAAATTATTTTGAATTTGAATTTCCGGTTATAATACAAATCTTTTGGTATAATATTTTTAATTATACATAGATTTTGAATTTTTTGTTATATTTTGGTTCATTAGATTTTCGGGTATTATATGTGCAAAGATAGAATCCCGTCCAAATCTTAATGCTCCTGGTCAGTATTTGTCTACAGAATTTTATAGATCTTGTTAAACAAATCATTTTACAAAAGATTGAAGATAAATACTTTGTCATATGAAGGTACTTAGCATTTATGTTATTAAACCATCTAATTGTTTTTAATACATTTAACTTAAAAAAATCCCTGAATATTTTTGTGGGGAGAAAAAGCTAAATTTATATTATTTTTATTGAAGGAACAAGAACGCTTGTCGGATTTGCTGATGAAGAAATGAAATCAAAGATGGAAAACACAGCATAATTACCGATTGATATTATTACTTTATTGTCTTTTCGAATCAAAAATAAAATAAAATAAAAAATTATGTGTTCCATTTTGCATGTCCCATGCACACCGATCGTAATTGACAATGAATCTGAAAAGTTTGGATTTTATGTTTGGAATCTAAAACTAAATCTAAATTTGTGGGGTTCAGGGTATTCCAATTTTAAATATTTTTGTAATTTCGCAAATACCTTAAAAATACAAACGGTTCAATAACTCAGATGATGCCATCATAAAACCAATTTACCTAAAAACTGTATCGAAATGGTAACATCAACCACAATCCCAAAGGCTCAATAACTCAGATCAAGAAATCCAATCCATTGCAATAAAAACATAATAACTGAAGGGGGGCAAGTCCATTGATGTTCGTCAATCAACAAGAGTGGTATTGTGTTCTTCAACGGTACTGCAAATACGAGGGTAAATACAAAAAGAGTATAAACAAACCTCGTAAAGGGTATGAAGAAACAACATTTTGGAGACAGGTTTAGGCTGAAAATCGAACTATTGTTACCTTGATGAATCCGATTTCCTTGGCGTTGCTGCGGAAGCATTGTCTGCAGCAGTTCAGACCGTACTTCCTTATCAACCCGTGTGAGTTCCCGCACACACGGCTGACAAAATGGAATACATTCGTCAGAATACGACGGATCAATCTACTCGTAAACTTAGTTTTATAAAGCACGAGGCAACGGCGTAAAAAACGAGTTACAGATTTCTTGAGAGAAAGAACACCTTAAAAGTTCAGGGGAAAAAAACACACTTGAAAGTTCCACCATGATTTTTTTATGGAATACAACGAATCCAACAAAAAAGGCATATTTTGAGCTCTTCAGCATACGCCCTATTGCCTAGCAAAAACTCAGAGATTCACGATGGAACTCTCAGGCTTTTCTTCGAAATTGCAAGGTCGGGACACAACAGACCACACACACGGGCAACTAGAGGGCTTTTTCAAAACTAAAGTACCCATAAGCAGATTTCTCAAAATAAACATACCATCAAAATAATTCTAAGTTTCCTGAAAAGAACAACTACTTGTTGTAAGAATCCTTGGATTAACAAACCTATAAGCAGGTTTCACCACAAGAACATATAAACAGACCGTCAAGTTTCAAAACAATGTTATTTTCCTGAAAAGAATGACGACTACAAGTTAAGAGTCCTAAATTTATCACCAATACAAAGATTTCCAATACGAGAATATACAAGCAGACCATCATTAGCATAGTTCTGTTTTCTACTTTTCTTCGAAACTCATACATTACACTATGGTCATGATCAACAAATTCAGTCAAAGATCCACCGACCAAACAACATTGTTTGTCTAAAAGGACCAAACAGAAAAACTACATGGGTTAAGGTTTTCCAAACCGATCAAAGCTTACGCTCAACACAAGTCCACCATCTAAGTGCATCGAAAATTCACCAAACAACCGAAATTTACAAAATATTAACACATTAACCACTGTTTAAAGTTTGATTTTCGCCAAGTTTCCCTTAAAACAACAAGTATGACACCGAATTATCTAATGATTCTCCGACAGACAAAAAAAACTGATCAAGTTTCGAAGATAATCTTCCGCAAGTTAACAAAGAAACTGTAAGGCGAGACAGACATGGAGTTCTCCCCTAATGTCTTCCTTTTACCCAAATCGAGAGAGATAGAGAGAGAGAGAGAAAGAGAAATCCATTACCAGGTGCGAGATCCAGGACCGTACTTCTTGGGGTGAGAATTCCAGACATTGGAGTGACCCATGATCGTTAGCTGCTCCAACAGGTAAAATAAGATGACGAAGACGAGCGGCGAAGAAGCTCTGAAAACCCTAGAATTCGGTAGGAGAAAGCATAATACAAAAACGTAAAGGAATTTTATAGGGGGCGCCCTACTTTTTCATATGGGCCGGATCCTGCAGGCCCAATCCTAACCCAACTACAAATTACAGAGTTATTTTATAGAATTTTAGTTAGAATGGATTTAGTTCGGAAACATTATTTTTTATTATAAAAATTGAACAAAATTATAATAAAAATGTCAATCCATTCGGATCGGTTTTAGTGTAGTATTGGCTCATACGATTTTATTACATGGATACTAAATAAGAAGCTAAATATGATATTCATATACATTTTTTGTAATTCGAATTTTGTTTCTATACTGGTGAGATTCAAAAACCATTTATTCAATATTGCAAAAATGATATCAAATTAAAATTGAACAGTATTGCATTCGATTCAATTCGGTTTAATTTTGATTTGGACCAGATGAAAACTAAATTTGAAAATTACAAATTTTATATTATTAAACTTTTATATATATAGATTTCGGAAGTTCGGTTTCAGTCTAATTGTTAGGGATACCGAAAAATCGGGTTTGGATTCATGTATTTGCATGCGAGATGGATATTACCGGAGGATATTTGTGTGAATAATAAATTGTTTTTTTAAAAAAAATTGAATTTAAGGAAATTATATATAAAAACTAGGGTTTTGAGTGAAATTTTTTCAAAATTCGAATTCAATTCGAGTAATTTTAAAATTTTGGGTACTTGATCCGAACCAACTTTTAATATGTGAAAAAAATTGAAATTTTATATCTGAATACAAGATTTAGATATCCAAAGCGAATACTAAATTGGATAAAATTCGAGATATTTGGATTCTAACCTGAAAGTCTCAGATTCACACGGTCTAACGTATCACACGTTACGTACAGCGAGGAAATAAAATTATCAAGGTAACGAACGTGGGCCCTAAATGGGCCTAATGAACGTGGGCCCATTTTGAGCCCAACTTATCAGGTAAGGAGAAATTTCTAATTGCGAAAAAAAAATAATTTAAGATTGGAACAAGAAAAAAAAAATGAAAAACGGATCTCCGAAACGCGAACAAGGTCGTGGAACCCAAAGCAAATGAGGGATCGAAGAAGATCGATTTCTCCACAAATCACATCTCTTCTTCCTCTTCATCACCAGTTTCTTCTTCATCCTTAAACCGTTCGCTATCCGAAGCTGGTTTCGATTTTGGATGCGATTTCCTCCGTCACACTGAATCCAGAGCTCTCAGTGATCCATCCTGACGTTGTCGCTTGCCTCCCTATGCAATGGTGGTCTGTAAATGCAGAAAGGTCTGTGTCTATACGTATGTGTCTATGTATGTCTCTGCTTAACCTGTCGATGCCTATGGGATGATATTGTTTGTGGATCGCTGGGAGGGGATCGTGTTCGTTGTCATCCAGTGCGAATTATTTCGCGCTTGATGTCAGTGGATCTGTTTTTCGAGCTCAAGTTTGAAAATGATTTTGGGTTGTTTTAGTTATGCATGTGTTCTGCTTGCGATTCTTTCTCTGATTTGATCACGTTCAAGCGGATTACTGACCGTAATTCGCCTTATTATGCGCTCGAATTGTAGCTTTTTCCTTTTTATTTTCATTTCTGGAGCATTATATAGGAATCATGAGCTTATCTAGTTGTTCTGAGAATTTTTTTCCGTTAGTCATTGAACTTATGAAGTTAATTCTAATGTTTTCCTTTGGCTTTCTTCAGGCTACCAAGTTGTATTGCTTTGTCCACAAGGTCCCTGTTTGCGGGGAATGCATTTGCTTCCCAGAGCATCAACTTTGTGTGGTATGTTTCCCAAATTGTATGATCTTTCTTCCTGAAATTGATATTTTCTAGGAATCTTTGCCCTGGTTGTTTGAAGTGCGGTGAAACTTTAGAAATGAGCCAAATTGTAGATAAGAACTTTAACTGCCGAAATGATAGTCTTTCCCGGGAAATGGGAACACCTACATCTTAGCTCAGGAACCTCCTGCCTGATATTGGTAAGTTTTGAAATTGTAAGAATAAGTTGCATCCATATATAGAAATGTTTACGCGGTAACATTATTTTAGACGAATCAAATCCTACCCATACTGGAAGCACACACTTCATGTGATTCTATCATTAGACACACATTTATTACTGTTTGTTTCTAGTTGATTGGTGGGAAAAGTCGTCAGATGGAGATACTGGGTGAAAGATCGATGCCTCTGGCACATTTATCTTGCTTGTGATAACGGATCACCATCTTCTTAGCTCTGTCTCATCCCCTTTATTTTCATAGACAGGGGCAGATAGAGACAGGAATATAACATTTAAAGTTGTTGCTGTCTCATTCTCATGTTATGATGTTTAGGTTCGAACTTATTCTGAATGGGTAATAGATGGAGAGTATGACCAGCCAAAGTGTTGTCAGTGCCAAGCAGCATTGATGGATGGGACAGGTCATCAAGTCACTCGGTTGGGTTGCTTGCGTATGTAATCTGATTACTACCATTGGTTCGTACAGTTTTTTAGTTCAAAATATGCAGTTAAATTACTGAAGCCATCTTTATCCCATTTCTTTGTATCAGATCTTATACATTCGAGTTGCTTGGTTTCACTCATCAAGAGTTTTCCTCCACACACCGCACCTGCGGGTTATGTGTGCCCATCGTGTAGCACTCCAGTAAGCTTTATTAATTAGTATTTATTTATTAAGTGAAGATCCTGTAGTATACAGTATACTTTGTCTTTTGTTGCATTATGATCCTTTTGAGTAGATAATCTGTGAAAGCCTTTCTTAGTTGTCTCATATTCTTGCATGAGATTTAGAAAGTTCTTTGACATTAGAGTGATTGGAGATTTGCTCTATAGGTATAGCAGACGCTGGCATTGCTCTGTGTTTCTTGCTTTTGATTTTCCTGTCAAGAGTTTCATCTGGCTTACATTTGGGAAACCGCCCTTTTTGCCCATTGAAACCCGCATGTGCTTCTTTTTCTTTCTTTTTTTTTTAATCAGGAATTTGTAGGAGTCGTGTTTCTTGGTTGAATGGTAACGCTTAGATTGAATCTTGTCTCTTTGCTTGTTAAGCCGTATGAGTAATCTTGCAGACCTCTATTTTGAACATCTCTTTGCTACTTTCTATATGTTGGGTCACAACACTGCTGTTTGGTGCAATGATCATATGGTCGCATAATTTTAGTTATTCAGAAAATATTTTTTCCATATAGATTGAATAGCTAACAAACATATGATTGTATGTTCTTTGCTTTCCAGGTTGTACGTTTTTTTTAGTTTGTACCCTCTTGCTGAATATCCTGTTTTCCTCATAAAAAATGTCTGATGCATGTTTTAGTTCTAATTTGGAGTTTAAATGCAGATATGGCCTCCCAAGATGGTAAAAGATACAGGATCTCGCCTTCATGCAATGTTGAAGGAAGTAATTTTGCAGGTTAGATTTATCCTTAGCTCCATTCTTGTTTTCAGATATATCTAATCTGTTCTGAAATTGGTAAGGAGGTATTATGTGAACAATGCAAAGACTCGTTTCATTCTACGCATCTCTCACTGATAACATTCGAACTTATATATCAAAATCATATTGCCATATTCTCTACAATGATGGCAAAACAAGTAAAAGGTTGCTGAGCATGGAATTAAAAAAGTTGAGTTGTTTAAATATCGTGTTCTCTGAATGGCAGACTGGTGTTGAGAAGAATTTGTTCGGAAATCACCCAGCTTCTTTATTGACGGAATCCCGCAGTCCACCACCTGCATTTGCTTCAGATCCACTAGTTAATATATCTTCTACCAGCGAATATAATGCATCCTCGTCTTCCCATCTACAAGATGGAAACAACCTTGTTGATGGATATTTAGCCGGAGACGGAGGATACTCCAAACCCACAGTTTCAGAGATAGTTGAGATAGATGTTCCTGCCTCTGCTGGGAGTTACATGAAAAGTTCAAGCCCTGGAGTAAGAATTTCTTCTAGTAGGCTTCTTTTTATTATGAAAATTTAATTTCAATTCCTATGGCTGTCACAATTGGAGTTATTTAAGTCAATATATATATATATATAGGCTGTTGCTGCTGCTGCTGCTCGGAAAGGTATATCCGCTGCTGACAGGCAGAACTCCGAGATGTCATATTATGCAGACGATGAAGATGGAAACGGTAAAAAGTACTCGAGAAGAGGTTAGAAGAAACTCTGTTCTCTGTTTTCCTCTCAGGTTTCGGATAATCGAGATAGACATATGATCCAGTGCCTTTTTTTTTTTTGGTTATAAAATCGAAGTCAGACAAAGGGGATATCTTTTTTTTGTTTTCATACAAGGTCCTCTTCGTCACAAGTTTCTCCGGGCTTTGCTGCCTTTCTGGTCAAGTGCATTACCAACTCTACCGGTGACTGCACCTCCTCGGAAGGATGCATCAAAGACAGATGTTCCTGAAGGTCGTTTACGGAACCAGAGACCGTCAAGGATGGATCCGAGGAAAATACTTCTCTTCATAGCAATCATGTAAGTTTTTTCACTTCTCCCTCATTCATATTCATTTGTTTTTTTGTACTGGGAAGTACTGGTGGCCAATTCCATTAATAATCAATACGGACCGAATAACATATAACCGAATCCAATGTACAAGCCGAATGAGTACGATTTTTTTCTAAAGCCTAAACCGAATACAAAAATAATCTAAAAGACCGAAATTTGCTTTGAAAAATATGTACTTTTATCTATAAAAAACCGATCGTACCCGAGTAGAAACCAAAATGAGCTGAATTCAATACAAAAATTGAATGGTTATAGTTTTTCTAAAACTGAAATAATCGAACCCAAATATTGAACCGAAACTAGAAACCAGTATTTTTTTTGCCCATAGGTTCTTCCATCGGTTACGTGCTCTATAACCGAAGTTGAGACAACTGCCATAGTCGGTCTATAACCGAAGTTGAGACAACTGCTATTGTCGGTCCAATACTAAATAAACCGGTATTTTCTCTAGATGGACAAAGATTCTCTTTGAAATTAGTTTTGTACCGTCCTACATATTTGTAGTTGAACTCCTTTTGTATTTTTTGTCGGCTCAGTTTAATTCAATAGCTTAAAGAAACTGGATTCCTTAGTGGTCCGGTTATAAATTCTGCGAGAATATTAGGATGTCCATAGTCACGGCATTCTTGATGGTGGATTTTGTGCATATAACGAATATATTTTTTGAGTAAGTACCACTTTACTCGTAACACGCAGGGCATGCATGGCAACAATGGGGATATTGTATTACAGACTCGCTCAACGGGCAATCGGACGAGATATAACCGACGAGGAGCAACCGTGAGGTAATAATATCGTTTTCGGGTGATCGGACCGGACCAGACTGGGCTTGGCTCTGCGTAATCGTTATATAAATTTAGGTTTTTGATCTGATGGGGCTCTACATAACATTGTCCCTGTTGTTGTTTGTTCCTTTCTGGATGTGGACCCTTGAGAATCTTTGGGCATACGGTCGTCGTTTAGTGTTTTCGATCGGGTGAAGATTGTTTGGATATATCCCTTTTTCACAGGTGGGATTTTTTTAGCCTAACGACGGTCCATTTTTCTTTGGTCTCAAAAATGTGTTTGAATTTTGGATTTTTCGCGACCCGTTAGGAATTATGCAATTACTTAGTATCGATTATTGGTCTCTTCTATTTTTTTTTTTTTAAGTGTGGGATCGTGGGAATCTTTGGCCCGTCTCTCGAAGTTTTATACGTCGTCGTTTTGTGTTCTTGATCGGCCTTTTTTATTTTGGTCTTTGGTCTTAAAGATATTTGTTAATATTCGTTTAGTTTAGTTTACGAGTTGAGATAGAGTTCAGTGTTTCTAACTCATTTTAAAAATATATTGTGTTTAGTCGAATTCAAAATTAATAAATTCGTGACCATTTGATTTGAGGCCATCCCTACACATGTCTTGGGATATTATATTAAATCAGGAAAATATATATTCTTCGATTAAGTATTCTTTAATTTCTAAAATAAAGTCGGACGAAATCTAATTGTTAATGGTGATGAGAATGTTGAAATCTTGAAATAAGTATTTTTAATCTTTTTTTACATTTAATAGCGAATAGAAAAATATATATTCCAACTTTTGTAATCTCATCAGCGTATCAAGAATTTTTATATATATATATATATATATATATATATATATATATATATGTATGTATATATTGTAAGCAAGAAAACACGACTCCTGAATATATTACGTGATTCTACGTTTTCTTTACTATTTTTGGACTTTTCTTGTCTGAGGTTGGAAAGCCAAAAAAAATATTTATTTCATTTTCTGTTTCGGGCAACAAAAACTAACCTATAAACAGCTCATGCATGGGAATAAAATATTAAAATATGCAACGTATCCTATTAAGGTAAGTCAAATGCAGAGAATCTGGGGCGAATATTCCATTATATAAAAAATACATACATATGCATTATCTTGTTCAACGACAATAACTCCAATATATATATAAAATGAAAAATAATGAACCATTAAAATATGGAACATAGAAAAAATTTCAAATAAATTTATAAATTTATTCGAATCTTACAAATTAATATATGAATTTTTTTATTTCAAAAATATTCTAATTTGTAATTTTCTCTCAATTTTCTCTCAAATTCCTAAACGATTTCTACTGAATAATATTTTTCCATTAATAATAATAATATTGACGGAGTTGGTCTGATTTTTCATGCGAGACAGTTTTTGTTTTGGACACATCAAATAAAATAACAATAAAAATCTATAATAAAGTAAAAATTAGAAATAAGAAATAATAAAAATTTATAAATGTATGTGTGTATATATATAAATAAAAAATGTGCATGTGTATATGTGTGTATGCATATATATGTATTTGTGTATAAATATTTATAAGTATGAGGGTGTATATATATTGAGATGTATATGTGTGTGTATATATTCTTTTTTTTTTCCAAATTATAAAATATTTCTTCAATTAAAATACATAAAAATTGTTACTATCCAGACTCATTCCGTTTAACTCTTCTTGGATAATATATAAATCTATACATTTGATGTATCACACATAAATGTCTAAATCAGTTCGAATTGTATTTTCACTTGTATATAGTTCTTTTAATTATTTAAGGGCAATTTGATATAGCTCTTGGGATATTGTTTTCCTCTCACATTTTTTTTTTGGATAACAGAAGACCCCTAACTACTACCTTTCGGGCGTGCTGACTGGATAAACCTTCGGTTCGAAAATAGCCTTTGTATATGAATCATATAAACCCAGAAATTACCTCCCTCCCCATCCGCCAGGAATCGAACACTCAATCTCAAGTTGGAATTACCTCATACCTCAAGTTTGACGACTCGTCCATGATCTATTGGGTTTTTCCTCCCATATTTGATTGTTCAGAGATCTTATATTTATGAATTTTTTATGGCAATAATCTCTACTAATAAGTAATCACTTGTAAAATCTTGAAAAAAAATCCGACCTATATTTTTTTATTAGATAAATTGTAATATTAAGTTTCATATAAAAATATAAAAAAATTCAGATTGAGGGCACGTCTTAAAGTAGCGAATGATCATAACTCATGGGTTATATTACGTATATACAAAAAAAAAAAATTGGAGAAAGCATAACCATTTTTTGGGAATATCTCCTCCTTCAGAAAAAAACATTATTTTAAGAATATTCGCAAGAAATTATAAACATTGTTGAAGAATTATAACCTTTTTAAATATTTTATAAAAAATTATAAAAAAATTTAAAGATTGTGAAAACATAATCCTATATACTACGTACTAGTAAATTCAATTTAATGTTTTTTTTTAATTTTATATATTTTGAAATCTCATTATCAAAATGGGAATGTTTGATTTGAGGAAATTAATATAAAACTCGCAAAATTTCTCTCTCTTTCTCTCTCTATATATATACATATAAAAGTATAAGCCGATAGAAATTCATATATCGAAGACAATCCATATCATATATATATATATATATATATATATATA